GCATTTTAACTTTCCACTATAAAGTGAGAATTTCTGTTAAAAACATTGAGAACTCCTAGCTTGTAAATCAAGGATCACGAAAGGTAGCACCAATCAACTATACATAAACATGAAAACAATTCATAAAAGATAACACTTCAAGAGCAATTATAACCAATTTAATGAGCAAGCTATGATTTAAAAGAGAGAATACGAAACAAAATAATAATAATCCCAAACCAGGCACATAGAACACGCAATTGCAAAGGAAAATCCCTAAAATCAACAAGTACCCAAAATCGTACATGCTAGGACCCATATATTTCCAATGATGAGTCATTAGTATTTAACATTTTCAATTTGTGGGTTTAAATCGATTGAGGGTATCCAGAGAAATTAAGATAATGAAGGAACATACCGAGAAGTATCAATGACTCAGGAATGAAACCAAGAACTTGAAAAGCACTTGCACCGAACATGCCAAGACCCAGAATATGGACAATCCATCAAAAATATTTTCTACTGTAAAGAAGAGAGATTTAGGGTTGTAGTGGTTGACTGCGGGAGGGATTTAGCGTTTCCTTCGTTTACCCCCTTCACATCTTTGTAAATCTTCATGTGGTGGAGGATAAAGATGAGAGAAAACCTGGTGGAGAAGCAGAGATGAGAAGGTGGAGGTGTCGATTAGGGGTTGTTCAACTGGAAGCTTTTATTGACGGTTGATGAGTCGTAGTTGTCGATTGGCACTACAATCGAAAGGTATTGCAGTCGCCGAATCATTTAGTGTGATGATCGATTTGGAAGAAATCTCAAACCCTTAACCTTAAACATGATGTGAAGCGATTGATCCAGTGGAGACGAGGGAGAAGAATGTGGGGGTTTTTAAAATTTGGGGATTTCATTTTCCCTCTAAAGAGACGCGCGTTTCTTAAAAAAAATGACATTCACAGAGGACGCACAGTTTAGATAAAGTGCCCTCCGTGTTTTTATTTTTTGTACATGAGACACTAATTTAAGGGCACGCAATAATGTTGACCTAAATCCTTAAATTTTTTGAAAAGATGACACTTTTTTAATGTCACTCTCTTTTGCGTAACATAAATCAATGAGTGTCGTGGTTTGCACGTCATAAAAGGGTCTTTTTCTTGTAGTGTCATCCCCTAATATAATAAATAAGAGCATTTTTCCACGTGACATTCTCTCAGCCCCCCCCTTCCCCCCTCTATTTTTCCCGCTTCTATCATCTAGCTGATTTTTCCTAAATTGCCTATTCTTCCTCTTTTACGTTTCCTTCTTGAACTCCTCTGATTCCGCATCAATTTGAAACCAAATCAATTCCGTGAACATGAAACTAAAAGATGATCTCCGCTTATCACCACCGCTCCTATTCCACTATTATTCTTCTTCTGTCTGTGAATACCGCTAATCTCATTTGTAACTTACAGTTATAGAATCCATTTTGCAGACAATCCTAAAATCCTCTACACATCTTCAACCCCGTTTCTCCCAAATCTCTTCGGACTCCCTTATTACTCTCTTCAATCTCCTGTAGGCCTCCGTAAGCACCAGATGTCGTCGCTACCACCACCCTTTTCTTGATGTTGTCTTTACCTCCACAGACACCCCTCTACATCCCCGCTTCTACCCTAAGTCGAAATGAGAAACCCTAAGTCTATCTCACCGCCACCATCAACACCACCATCACACACCGTTTACTGGAAACCCTAACCCTAAAATGGCTCCACTATCCCCACAAGGAACCACTTAATATTTTCATTATGATCCAAGAACTAAAGTTAGAGAGTACTGAGGTAATTTTCTGATTGCCTAAGGGTTTAATTTCTCTCCAGAAGGTAGCAATGAGTTTGTTTGTAAAGGTTCAATTTTGTAGATTTCTTCCTTTCATACTTCTCATTGACGATATTTTGTCCATTCTTTGTCTGAGTTTTAACAGAGAAATGAGAAGAAGGGTTTTGTTTCTTCAGAAAATTTTCTCCCCTGACAGTTTTAGGTATATGGTTCTTCATCTCGAATTTCTCTACCCTTCTTTTTAATATCATAAATCTTAGAGTAATTTTATATATACAGATCGAGTTGCTCTATGATTTTGCTTCTATATGTTTATTTTTAGTCTGAACTACAAGAGTTTAATCCACCTTTCAGTTATTGGGAAACTGAATGTTTATATTATATCCATAGAATGGAAACATGTAACAAGTTATAAAGTTGGTGTCAATGGCTTTGAAGTCATTGAGAAGCATGATGTCTCCAGGTTCATTTTCCTTAATTTTATTGATACATGATATTAATACCAATAGATATAAAACAGATCAATGAATTTTGGATTTTCAACAATGATGTTTATGAGTTTTGATTAGGTTTATCTTAATTTAACCAAGTGATGTTTTGTGATAGTTTAAATTTGAGTTTTGAAACCAATATCAGAATGAGAAAATCAGCCCAAAACTTGAATTACTCTCTTTTAAAGTTTGTATTTACTTATTCATTTTCTTTTAATTGCAGGTGACTGAAGCTCAAAAACTTGATGTAAGGAGAAACAAAGTGTTTGCATACCTCAACAATCTTATTTGCTTACGTTATCAACTAGATGCCCCTGAATTTGTGAGTGGTGAACCTAGCCTACTACAAACTTTTCTCTATTTCTGTTCATATTTACATATATGGTAACCCTAATATATATCATTTTATATACTTTCCTAAAGCTTATCCCACATTATTCCTTCAAAATGCAATATAGTAAAACCCTAAAATAGATCTCAACAATAGACTTTATATTAGAAAACTTTATTGTGGCTTCACACATTAATTATGTCATTATGTTTGAATTAAGTAAAATAGAAACACCATCTACATATGGATCATATTCAATCATATGATCTATAATATTTTCATTTGCATGGTCAATAACAATGCAGATCACCGTTTGATAAGAGAGGAATGATGGATTTTATGCTATGTTTTATGAGAAGATATTGAGTCAATTTTTAGCAGTAGAAATGACTTCAAAACATATCAATTACTGCCATATGTGACTATTTGAACCATATTTGGACCTTTGAATGATTACCCAGACTTATATATGATCCACTTTATATTAATTGTATCTTATTTCTATAACAACTTGTATTCAATTCTATGAAATTGCAGCTAAGGAATCATGGTTTGGACATGACTGTGGAAGAGCTTGAGACCCATGTTATATTAGCTTCGAAAATAGGGAAAATTACAGCTTACATATATGATCAAGACGTTTTATTGGTGTAAGCCTTTGGTGACTCATATAATAAGAGTCATCATTCTTATTTTATTTTTGGTTAGGTTATAAAGTTTTTGTTATCTTTCCGATGGAATTTAGATGGTCATAATACGTTAACAAATTTCAAATAAAAATGGAATATGCATGATTTATAATAACTTCACAAATATAATCACTCATACAACTTTTAATTTTCAGAAGTCAAAAATCTGACTTGGCAATTAAAAGTATACATAGCACAATATATTGTTTTTAAAAAACTAATACACAAGAACAACTAGAAGCTTACACGTTATTTCTTTCAATAGAAATAATTTAGTAAGATTAAATTGAAGAAAGAATGGAATCAATCATTTCATTGGAACTATAAAAAGTTTTTTGTTTTTGTCCAATGGAATGGAATCTGACATATTCTTCAAGGAATATGATTCCTTCCATTTTAAGTTTTTGGTATTTAACCAGTATCCTTTTTCCATTCCATCATGGAATGAAATGAAATATTTCAATATAACCCTTTGTGTTTATGAAATTTAAATGAAACACATCTTCTTTTAGTAGAAAATATTTTTCTTTATTATAATTATATTTTTGTTTTAATGAACTTATGCATCGTTTTCAATTTTTAAATTGTAAATTAATATTTTTTTTTGTTAAGAATTATTAAATATGGATTTGGAACTATATAGTATTTCCATATAAAGTAAAAAGCTCATATGAAAACTTGTCACATTCTTATAAGTCAAGTAAAAAGTTCATTTATTTGAATTCTAATTTAACAGTCTCTTCCCTAAAATTATGATATAAATTTTGTATAAAGGTATATTTTACACGTTTTATTTGTTTTAAAGATTACTTTTTTTTCCATTTCGAATTAAATTATTCAATATTTGTGGAAATTATTCATAACCATATTAATGAATTTTTGCATGTTATTAATTGGTCATTACAAATAAAATTATCAAAATTATTTTTTTTTATTTTACCCGTGGTTTCCACAGGTTGTAACCTAGTTACCATAATATATACCTCCAAATTTAAGAAATATATTAGCCACAATTTTAGTGAATTTATTAGAAAGTAGTAGGGCTATGCATGGGTCGGTTTGGGTCGGTTTTGGACCCAAACCCAACCCATAAATAGTCGGTTTCCGATTTTCAGAACCTAATAGGATCGGTTTCTGGTTGGTTCGGTTTCTTAGGTTTTAAGGTCAGTTTGAGCGGTTTTTCGGTTTCTTGGGTTCAACCCATACACTCACGGGTTCTGAGTTTAAACTCATGGGTTTTAGGTTTTAACTCATTTTCCATAAATGAAGCAACAAGTTAGATACTTAAAAAAAAAATACCAAATTGAAGTTAAGTGCTTCAAAAAACATGATTCTTACAACCAATAGTCCATTACAACTTACTACTAAAACCCAAAATAGGCTATTACAACCAAAACAAAATCAAGTAAGGGTTGTTTCTCGGGTTGGTTTCTTGGGATGGTTGATCGGTTTTAAGTATGGGTCGGTTTCTGGTTAAAATTTGAAACCGAACCCGATTTTTCGGTTTCTAAAAATATCAAACCCAAACCGTCGGTTTTGCTTCGGTTTCGGTTTTTTCAGTTTCGGTTTCGTCGGTTTTAGCTGGTTTCTCGGTTTTTTGGTTGGAGTTTGCTCACCCCTAGAAAGTAGTAAAAAAAAAAAAAAAAATGATAGCATGGTTCATGTTTATATTTTCTTTATTTTAGCCACGGAGTGGGCAGCGATCCACACCAATGGGCAATGGGATTGGGTCAAAAAGGCTGTTTCGCGTTAATCAAAGCCCGAAGATCTCTGATCTGTCCCCGAAATCCCATTATTATTTCAACCAAAACTTCCATTGAGATTTTGCATAAATTAAGCTCTATTACTTACTTTTTCTTTCTTCTTCTTTATCCTTTTCCTAAATGACAATCAACGCAATTCAAGTTCCAGCTTCCAGTTGATCTATTCCTTTGACCTATTTCTTTCTCCAAGTTAAGTCCACAGACAGTTCCTGCCCGTCGGTGCTGACTCACGTCCACTTCCGTTTCATCTCAATTACCCGATTCGCCGTTTCTCCAATGAGGCGATAATCGGACCTCTACTGTTTTGTCACTAGTTTTGTGAATTAGGGTTTTAATTTATGCGATGGAGCAGCCTCGTGTGGGGAATAAATATCGGTTAGGGCGTAAGATCGGTAGCGGTTCATTTGGAGAGATCTATCATGGTTCGTTTGTTAATCGTCATTATGATGTTGATCCCTTCAGTTTTATAAGTTTGTATTGCTAATTATTGGAACCTGGTTTACAGGTACAAATATTCAGACGAATGAAGAAGTTGCTATCAAGCTTGTGAGTAAAAGAATAGCAGTTTTTTCATCTATCTATACTAAATTGCGACATAATTGATGCTTTAACTTTCAAATAATATCTACTTCATGTCGATTTTGACATTTAGGAACTGTAAATGGTTAACCTATGAACTTTCGAATCACATTATGCTATGCGGTTTTTTTTGAGGCCATCTATTTTTAGTAATCCGACTATCCTTTTTTCTCGTTCAGGAAAATATCAAAACAAAGCATCCTCAGTTGCTATACGAATCAAAGTTATATAAGATCCTGCAGGGAGGAAGTAATGAACAGTGCCATTCTGCTGTTTCTCTCTCTCTTTTTTTTTTCTTTTTTTTAAAAGGTAAATACCGACTATTCTGACTTTCACTTATGTCTTCGAATTATAGCTGGAATCCCAAATGTGAGATGGTTTGGCGTTGAAGCAGACTACAATGTTCTTGTGTTGGATTTATTGGGACCGAGTCTTGAAGATTTGTTTAACTTCTGTAGTCGGAAGATGTCTTTGAAAACAGTTCTTATGCTTGCTGATCAAATGGTATGCCTTTCTTTCCTAATTGACTTATTTTCGCACAAATAGATTGAAAATATCCTTGCATTTTTATATATTCACTTTTTTTATGTGGATTATATATGTTGCAGATCAACCGTGTTGAATTTATTCACTGTAAATCATTTCTGCATAGGGATATCAAGCCAGACAACTTCCTTATGGGTTTAGGGAGGCGTGCTAATCAGGTTTCATTCCATAATTTGTTCCATTTTTCCATTGTACATTTCTGTTTTTTTCATAGTTTTATTCATATTTTTTAAACATACATATAAACCTACATGTTACAGGTCTATGCTATTGATTTTGGGCTAGCCAAGAAATATAGAGACTCTTCAACTCATCGGCACATTCCATATAGGTGAGTTTTTTTTCTTTTTTTTTTTTCTTTTTTTCATACAAAAGTGACCCGTAATGAATCTATATATTATGTGTTATAAAATGCAGAGAGAACAAGAATTTGACAGGGACAGCTAGGTATGCAAGCATGAATACTCATCTTGGAATTGGTAAGCTTCTATTGTGCTCAAAATTATTCAAAAATACGAACAAATTTATCATTCTTACATGTTTGTGTTGCTTAGAACAAAGTCGAAGAGACGATTTGGAATCACTTGGATATGTACTTATGTACTTCTTAAGAGGAAGGTAGAACACCCTTTTTCCATTTTCATCTTATCTGCATATAATAGCAACGTACTTCCACTTCAATTCTAATTTGGTTACTAGTCTTAAAACTGATTCTTAAAAGTTAAAACCATTCAACTTATAAAAAACCTTCTTCAATTATGTAAAGCATGTTGTTATTTCTTTCAATCTCGCCTTAAAACTTTGATGCATAATAATCTGATTGACATGTTTTGGACATTGTTATTTGTTAGTCTCCCATGGCAGGGACTGAAAGCTGGGAACAAGAAACAAAAGTACGAAAAGATTTGTGAGAAGAAAGTTTCCACTTCTATTGAGGTAACTTAAGCTATTCCATTTAAGTATTTATTGATGTTTGTTATTACCAACCGGAAATATTCATTGTATGCCATAAAACTCACAAAGTTTTTATTTTTTTTGCAGTCTTTATGTCAGGGATACCCTTCAGAGTTTGCATCTTACTTCCATTATTGTCGATCTTTAAGATTCGATGACAGGCCCGATTATCCATACTTGAAGAGACTCTTCCGTGAGCTTTTCATTCGTGAAGGTTTTCAGTTTGATTACGTCTTTGATTGGACTATTTTGAAGTATCAGCAATCACAGCTTTCGAATCCTCCATCCCGTGCTCTTGTAAGCTGTCAACAAGATGATGCTTTTTATTTTTTTTAATATATCCATAATAATAGCTATGTATGTATTTTTGTGAATCAGGGGGCAGGAACAAGTTCTGGTATCCCTCCCATGGCTGCCAACCCGGGCAGGTTAACCGGTCAGTATTTCCAGGAAATAGCAACATATTTTATTCCTTTTACCAATACAAACAGTCTACTTTATCAGTTTAACCTGTATTTATTTTTATAGGTGGTGAAGAAGGTGGTGGTAGTAGGGGTTGGTCTTCTTCCCGGCCTAGAAATACATTGAATTCTGGAACCCTCACCCTCACCCAATCCAATTCCAGACAAAAAAATCCAGCTTCCACTGATCCATCCACCAGTAGAGAGGTACTTACCTACCTACCTACTACCACAACACAACACAACACATTATTTTCTTACTTTAATTTAATTTAATTTTTTTTTAACAGTTAACAAGTAGTAATATTTTGCAATCGAGTGGATCTTCAAGGCGGCCTACTGATGCGGTGCTTGGTAGGGTGGCAAGTAGCAGCGGACGAAGGAGCTCCCCGGTTGTTTCATCCGATCAAAGACGCTCGACTCCCGGTAGAAATGCAAAAGCAAACAACTTTGACTCGACTCTCAAAGGTATTGAGGGTTTGCATTTTTAGCATATATAATATAAGCCCCCATTCAAACTTCAAACTTGGTTTTTATGTAAGTAACTGCATTTCATCTTTTTTTTTTTTTTTTTTTCAAATGTGTAGTCTGTCTTTTATTAGAGCGAGTGAGTCACTGCCTAATAATTATAATTAATTAAATAATCAAACACTAGAGGTAATAGAGATTATAGAGCTGGTCTTCGGGAACTATTCGTGAAAACTCGGGTTCGACTCTTGTGCTGCTTTCCTTTTTTTTTTATAAATGATTTGATGTTGAATCGGCATCAACCATTTAATGCTGTTGAATGAAAGAAATTACAATTTTACCCTTCTAATAAGATCAACTTTAAATGTGCGTATATAAAATTGACAAGTTCTAAAATCTAATGATATAGATTTTTTTTTTGCTAAATATTCATCAAATACATTTTTTTTGGTGGAAAGAGAACAATTACAACTTAGAACCAACAAATAAACATTACACACATCTAGAATCCAATCCAAATATCAAACAAATACCACACAAATATAGTGTGGTGGTGGGAGATGGAAGTCGTTGGAATTTAATGATAGTGTGTTGGTGGTGGATGTCGGTGGTGATGTCCTTTGAATGTTCAATGTCATATGGACTACACATGTGGTCATGAAATATGTCATATACACGACACATTGGCAACAATAGCATGTGGAGAACTTGGTAACCTGTTAATAAGGTTATCTTCCCTTTCTAGCTGCTCGTTTTTTAATTTTTAGTTTATATTCTCATAATGCACAAAAACTAGTTCACGGATCTTTTTTTTACAAAATCTTATTAGGTTCTAATGAAATTAACCCCGTTGGTTTATTCAAAATATATAAATTGTTTTCTTACAGTTGTCAACCTATAATAGGTTTTTTTTTCCTAACATTTGTTGTTATTTTTCTTATTTTTCATTATCACTTTTGTGTTGGTTGTTAGTTGTTGGTTGCGACACTTCATCTTTATTTGATGTATATGACATATATAACTATTAACAATAGCTATAGGATCGACAATAAAAACGTGATTCATAGAATTAGTTTAAACAGTTGAATTTGTTTATCTGATTATCAAGAATTAGATAATACGTATTGATAGCAAAAAACTTGAATATAAAATTCCGAATTAATATCCTTCATTTACAATATGTTTATCCTTTTTTTATTAAGAATGTCATTTTTAAATAATTTTGTAAATAATTATAATTTTATCGACTACTTATCTTATTATTACATTTACAAAGAACAAACTATATTCAAATATAAAGGTTTCTTTCCTCTTAACTCATTTCATAACTGATTATTTGATTAATGATTATTGACATCATATAATTATTTTCAAAACTTAGACGTTTTCATGTTCGTTATATTGAGATCCAAATCTTTTTGGTAAATTATTGTCTATCATTTAAAGAATCCTCTCAACTACCATGTACCAAACACACACAAATACAACGATTACATGATAAAAAAAAAATTCAAAATCATCAAAGATCAACAGACATGCATACTTATTGATATTACATCATAAATCTTTGTTAATTAAACCAAGTTATCAGTATTGTATACAAATTATACGCTCAAATCTTTTTCTTTGCTTTTCCATTAATTTTGGAGCAAAATGACGAAAATGCCCAAAGAAATCGATAGATTCATCTATAGCCATAGACAAGTTGGGTGTATGTGTGTCTGATCCATCCAAAACTTTTCTTGAAAGACCCTTTTACCTTGTTCTCTATAGAGTAAACATTATATGCAGCAACCCTCTTCTTCCGTTGCAACTCTGGATCATCAATACTCAATTTCTTTAAATTTGAAACATGTTTCTTAATGTTTCGGTTTGAAGTTGAGTAACTCCTCATATTCTTCATATTGCTGGGAAACTCTTCATTGTTGCTCTTAATCTCCATCATGCCACCATCTCGACACGATTGAGATCTATATTTTTCCATCTCTATGTGTATATTTGTTTATGTGAGATAAAGAAACGTATATTACTTCAAAGATTTGCTACATATTGGCAACGATGAGAAGCTATATATGGATGGAAAAAGGTGAAATAATGTAAGCTTGGGTTGTCAAAATAATTTCGAAGTCTTGAATTTGAATAAGATATTACTAAAACTTTAAGAGCCAAGCATGGGTAAACTTTATATGTTTAATTGGTTAATGGAACTTGGCCTTTGCCTTTTGGCTTTTTTGTAGTGCAAAAGGTCTTTCGGAAGTAGGAGTTGTATTTTGAATTACACTTAAAGTTGAATTACACATGGTGATGTCGAATTGTGAGCTTTTGACCTTTCAAGTTGGCATATATATTTGAATATTCAACAGTGTTGTTGCTAATGAATTAATAATAGAGTATTTAGAGAAATAATTTATTTATCTAGAAAGGCCGGCTTTAATTAATTGGTGTAATATATATATATATATATATATATATATATATATATATATATATATATATATATATATATATATATATATATATATATATATTATATATATATATATATATATATATATATATATATAACACTTTATTAAATAAAAGAACAAAGCAAATATGTCTAATATCATTTACCACTTTCAAAGGAAGTAAAAAATTAGTTAGATTAGCAAAATAGTTGCCATCTTTGCAGATAACATTTATGAAATGAGCATACCATCTGCGATTAAAAGGGTTAATGATCTAGAAAGGTAACAAACTTTGGTCTTTATCCACATTTAGGTAATCATGTTTTTTTCGTTTATATTTGATCATTGAATTTGTTTGACCTGTTCAAAATAGGGGTAATATGACTGGTAATTTCGGTAATATTACCCTATTATGAACAGATCAAACAAGTTTATTGGTCAAATGTGTACGAAAAAAAAACATGGTTACCTAAATATAGACAAAAACCAAAGTTTGTTACCCGTTTTGGTAAAATTCGACAAGAAATGTCCTAGGGATTATGCCCTACGATTAGGCCCCGACAGTCAATGTACAATTAGGTTAGGCTTTGTCTAACCCAGTTAAGTCCCAGCTAGTCATGGGTTAGGCTGTGTTGCTAGGTCTTTAAAGCACATACAGCCTAACCCATTAAGCGTATACAACCTAACCTCTAACTATCTGGACCTAAACTGGGTTGACCCAAGACTTGATCATCTCCTCATACACAAAGACTGGACAACTCGATTAGTTACACTTAACATAAAGAACCCAATATTACCAAAATGGGTAAAGAACTTTGGTTTTTGTCCATATTTAGGTAACCATGTTTTTTTTGTACACATTTTACCAGTAAACTTGTTTGACCTGTTCATAATATGGTAATGTTATCGTTAATTACCAGTCATATTACCTTATTTTGAACAGGTCAAACAAGTTTAATGATCAAATGTATACGAAAAAAAACATGGTTACCTTAATGTGAACAAAAACCAAATTTAGTTACCTTTCTAGTTCATTAACCCAATGAAAAATGGTGTTGTTTTGGAGATTTTCACAAATTGACCCATCCATTTCGCAAATATCATTTTTAAAGCAAAATATTTATTTCTAAATGAAATAGTAATTAAGAAATGTCATTTTTGCAAATGAGATGCGAAAATGACTTTACCCAATCATTGTTTTTGTTAAAAATACATTTTTGCAAATATCATATGCGAAAAAGACATTTCTTAGCAGCAAAAAAAATCAATTGAGAAATATCATTTTCATAGGTATTATATGTGAAAATGACATTTCTCAATCATTTTTTCTGGTAAGAACATATCATTTATACATATGATAAACTGACATTTTTTAGTCAACTTTATTAGTTTGAAAATATCATTTTAGATATGATATTTAAAAAAATGTTATTTTCTAGCAAAAAAATGAATGAGAAATGTCATTTTGCACAACTTCTACAAAATTACGTTTGAGTAAATTTTTCATGATTACATGAGTTACTTACAGTAATCATATTGCATATAATAAGAATAATGTATGAGATCATTTAAAACTATTCAAAACCAAACCATAAAAGTAATTATAGGGACATTTACTCTCGATATAAATCACCTTAAGTTATACAACAAAGATCACTTCAATTCTAAGGATGGATATTGGGCTAGTAGTCACATATAGTTGTTTAACCATGCGATTAACTGAATGATTATGTACTGATCAAACTTGTAATGATAATTAGTGTTTTTAGTCTCATTTTATTTCTTAAACATGTCCCCTAAGTCGTTAGAAAGAGATTTGAAGTAGTTTAAGATCAAATGAATCAACAAATTAAAAGGTATGTCATTTAGTTTTAATTTATGTATTGCATATTACACGGTCGTGTAACTAATGGGTTTAGAGCCTATCCAAGATCAACCATTTGACAACGTAAACGACAAACAATTCTAATCTAAGACTCAAAACATTTAGATCTAACTCAACTAACCTATACAACTTATTGGGTAACAATAGAATGTAATCGTACATTTGCTTTCTTCATAAGTTTCTTTTTTTGACAAGCCAGATAAATGTACTAGAGAATCCAACATAGAGTTCCTCTTCTAAAACCGCACCCAAGAAACAAGACACGAGTACATCTAAGCAACCCTTGAACTGTGATCTTCGAACAGAAAGGAAATCTTGATTTTGTGGTCGACCACAATGTGGTAAACTATTTGCCACAATGTGGGAACTACAATTCGAGATTCTTTAGGGTTTTGAAGATTCTGAACTTTTGAGACTGAGAAGTATTTTCACAAGTTTCAAAACCGGATTTGGAGCCCTATATTTATAGGGAGGTGATTTGAACCCCTAGATATATTTTCAAATATAATAGTAATCATCTATGGTATTCAAATCATTATGGAACATTTCATACTCTTTTATTTATTATTAATTTATTAAACTATTAGTTAATTAATAAAATAAATCTCTTAAATAAATATCTTTTCAGTTCTGCTTTATTTTGTTCTTGCGTGTAACTCAAAAGGACACTGCTACTTATAGTAATATTATCAGACTAATCTCCATCAGTTCCCACTTGCACTTAGGTATTGCCATTTGACCAATCATAATACTTACTAGGAACAACAGTGGTAATCCAATGCAACTACTGTACTTATAACAACATTGATATAAACAACCTTAAGACTAATAACTTCAAATTCCTTTGATCTTCATGATATTTTATTATGAACAAGATACATGAATCTAGGGTCAATCTCATGGTTTAAGATTATATTTCCTGATACCGACTTGTGGTGACTTCCAAACTAATTGTTGAACCTAATCAACTCAGTCTCAGCTTGGCTAAACATATGTTGTCAACACCAAATCAACGAGGGGTCTATAGACATCTACTTCTCCATTTCTGGCAGAAGGATCAAATAATTTTTGACTACATATTTCAGTACCATTCCCCATGCAATATCCAGTCAAACCCTATATAGCAACTAGTTACAGACAACACTAAGGTAAAACAAATACACAATAGATTGTAGAACATAACCTCATGCATCTCCATTTGAAGAATATGAAACATGTTCATCTCCATTTGTAGAACATCTCCATTTCGGATTAAATCCTACTAGACATAAATGAATGTTATACTTTTTCTTACTATTTGTGAACTTTTTTTTACTATCATTTTTCCGACTCTCAATGTTAAATAAAGATTAGGAGCAATCATGAGCAATCATAGCGACACCAAACACCTCCAACAACCACCATGGCCACCCAACTCACCACTGACATCCACCTTGTTCACCTCGGCCGCCATGACCTTACACCAAATTAAACCAAAAAAAAAAATCAATTCCTAAAATCGAAACCTAGCGTGAAATCACTTTAATTGTCGGAAATTGTAAGGTAATAAATTCCTGAAATCGAAAAATATATAAAATTAAAAAGACTAAAGAACTAATGATTTTAGAAAACAAAAATGGATAGATCAACCATTTTATTTTAAACCTAGAAAAGGAAATCAATTTACAAATTATATTCCCCACCGATTTTATAAAAAGAAAAACCAATTGATTTGTAACCCATAAAACGAAAAACAAACATGTCAATTATTTGATTTTAAACCCAAAAAACAAAATATCATTTGAAGGTTATTCTTTCTCAATTACTTTAGAAAATGAAAAAAGATTTAGTTTCAAATCAATTAAATGATCTGAGAGTGCATATAATCAGTTTTCATTATTTTTCGAATGGTGCAACAATTAAATAAAGCCTAGATTGACGACAATTTGATGGTTTCCAAAAGGACGATTGTGGCTTTAATGTGCAGAGCGACAAATCTATTGGTTTTGATCAAGATTGCGGTGGATAGTTGGTGGTCTAAAGTGGAGTGACAATTGATGACACGACACGACAAAAATACACGATACTCAACGAAATTGGGACGAAACTGAAATTCGAATTCATGTTCATGTCAAGTATAAAAAACACGATGTTGTCTTGTGTTCGTATTCAAAATTCGACTCGAAATGACAAGATTTAGCATCTGTCTGTCGTGTTTTTCGTGTTATGTATGATTAATGTTAATTAAATAAACAAAACATCATTTTTATGTTATATTTTTCATGTCGTGTCATGTTTGTCATTTTTAAATTGATTCATCTTCATTTTAGTTAAAAAAATAGGATTGGTCCTGAGGATTCAAATGCCCAGGACGAGCTAGAAAAAAAAAACCCTTAGAAGTCGGAAATTATGATATTTTAGACAATTTATGCACATTTTAAGCGGTTTCTACAAATTTTTGTGGACTGAATATTGAATTAAATTGTAAAGAGAGAAAGATGAGGCAACTGGATGCGAAGCAGAAGTCGGAAATGAAGATTGAAGAGCTGGAATGATGAAGGAGATGATGAAATCCCTCATTTTAAATCCAATTGACTTGAAATTTGAAACATAAGGTCTACTAACATATTAGAAGGTGTTGGCATTGTTTTTTGGTCTTTAGATAATTCTAAGAGTGATAGAATTAATTATTTCGGAAAAAAAGACCAAAATACTCTTTTGTCCAAAAATTACCAAAACACAACCAAACAACCTCCAAACTTAATGCTCAGTTATATTAACAATATTGAAGTGTATTAAGACCATTTTTATTCACTATATGATTCAAAATTCGACTCGAAATGACAAGATTTAGCATCCGTCTGTCGTGTTTTTCGTGTTATGTATGATTAATGTTAATTAAATAAACAAAATATCATTTTTATGTTCTATTTGTCATGTCGTGTCGTGTTTGTCATTTTTAAATTGATTCGTTTTCATGTTAGTTAAAAAACAGGGTTGGTCCTGAGGATTTAAATGCCCAGGACGAGCTAGAAAAAAAAGGCCCTTAGAAGTCGGAAATTATGATATTTTAGGCAATTTATGCACATTTTAAGCAGTTTCTACAATTTTTTGTGGATTGAATATTGAATTAAATTGCAAAGAGAGAAAGAGGAGGCAGTTGGATGCGAAGCAGAAGTCGGAAATGAAGATTGAAGAGCTAGAATGATGAAGGAGATGATGAAATCCCTCATTTTAAATCCAATTTACTTGAAATTTGAAACATAAGGTCTACTAACATATTAGAAGGTGTTGCCATTGTTTTTTGATCTTTAGATAATTATAAGAGAGATAGAATTAACCATTTCGGGAAAAAAAGACCAAAATGCCTTTTTGTCCAAAAATTACCAAAACACAACCAAACAACTTCCAAACTTAATGCTCAGTTATATTAACAATATTGAAGTATATTAAGACCTTTTTTCATTCACTATATGATTCAGCTCATTAGTTAGCCATATCAAATCTTCAAACTCACTATTTCGAATACAATTTAACCAATTAAAACTTTTAGACCAAATTCAAAAATTTACTACTTGAATTGACATCAAAACCATTAATGTAACTTAATACAATCTATGGAATCATAATACAAAAGGTCTCTCGGTGATCATGGTCGGTGTTGACAGATGAATCAGTGATGATAATCGATTACCTGATAACGATTGGTTCTATGATTCAAATGGTTGAAATGACTGAATGAGTAATCGACCCTAAACCCTTCACTCTTGTTGTACGATGAAGCATGAGCCCTGAATGATCGCTAAATCGTTGCTTTTATTCTACTGTGATTTGACAATTAATGTTCTGCTGATTCTACTCTCACGTCTGGACTACGATGACAATTAATATTTAACTATCTTTGAATTTAGATTTGATCTAAACTGAATATATATAAAAAAATGGGCCCCTTGAATATATGGGCCATGTGCACATGCCCATATTGCCCGCCCTCATCACCGGCCACATGCTCATATTATCCGCCTCATCACCGGCCATATTAAAAAAACATGAGAGTGTCGCTATTCATCTCAAACCAAATATAATTTACTATGTTATTCAATAAAATTGTTTTATTTACCCATCATCCATGACATGACGGACAATAAAATTGAAAATGTAATATGTATCGAATCACTATTCACCGAGATTGGTGAAAAAAGAAAGTTATCTCACTTTATATTTCACAGCAGACCCATGTTTTAATCAGGAACACCGATCTAGACCTTCGCTGCCTTCGCAATTTGACTTTTAGCCCTAAACACTACGGATTCCTTTCAACCAATCAATATTCCAACATCGAAGGCGGACGCCATTTCCTCCGGGAAACAATCTCTCTGCTGAAACGATCATGACTTTTGCAACTCACATCTTCCGTCACTCCAAGCAGGTTCTTATCAGCCTCCTTTTCATCTAAACTTGCACAATCTGTTTCGGTTACATCTATGTGTTTCGATGATTAGATATCGCGTTTGTATGTATGTAGCTATGATTGATTATTACTGAAGAAGTGAATGTATTGATGTTCGATTCGTTAGTTGATTGTACTTGTCTAGTTGTTAGCACATCTTTTCTCGCCGAGAATGTTACAAAACAGCTGCTAAAAAGAAAATCAGTTAGTATATGAAGATTGAATTTCTGTTATCATGCTTGTTAAGTAGACTTTGTGGATTTAGGTTTTGAGTGTGTTCGTTCGAGGCTTCATGTTGGTAAGGCGGCGTTTGTGGCTGTGAACTGTGAATGGGGAGATGAAGATTCTGTTTGTTTGAGCCTGAGAATTGAGATGTAGGAAGCTTAAAGATGAGAGAGTACATCTAATAAGTCGGATGCATTTATGCTTGCGACTAAGTTTGTTTCTTATGTTGATTAATTTTGTTTTATTTCAGTTGAGAAATGCTCCTGGGGTAATACGGCAGGATCATGCCATTCTGGTTCGGTGGTTTACTAATAGTACTCGTTCCATCACTAACACAGGGGATGGTAAGTAGCTGAGTTGCTTCCTATTTTACCTGCCTTAATGTAAATACTGCAGCATCTGTCTTCAATGGGTTACTTTCAGTATTGTTTGTTTTTTATTCATTGGATGTAAACCAAATTCATTTGATAATGTCTAGTAACAAATATAAAATTTCATTGACCATAGTTTGGTGCTTTCATTTTGTGGTTTACTATGTATGTATATGGAGGAGGATAAAACTTCATTTGTATTTTTTACTCTAAACCATGTGCTGAATGTCAGATTAGGCTTCCTTTATCTTAAACTGACCTTAGAGTTCTATGGGATGCATCTTGGTTTATTGAATAATTCACACTTTTTGTGTTGATATCAATGTCTCAATATTACAACTATTGTGATTATTATATTGACAAAGATTTACATCTACATTTGCAGATGTGTCAAAGCTCCGCCATGGAGAGAATATTTGTGGATGTAAGTCTTGCAGTGGATCCATATCAAGTACACCCATGTTCACTCGAAGTTATAGAGTGAATCCCACAAAGGTATGTCAAATCCTTGTTTCATCATCTTGTAAATTGGACATGAAGTTATATACAATCTCATCTTCTTCTTCTTCTTTTTCTTCGTCTTCTTTTTAATCATAGGGGCAAAATGGACTCGCTGTTGGAGCAGAAGGAACTTCAGTTGGTGGCATGATGTTCAGTAGAGCAATTTCATGGTAATTATCAAAGCATCCTTAAGACTATTGCATTTATCAATGTTTCCTGATTCATGTTTTTAACAATTGATTAATGTTTAACAGCTCTGATGTTCAAGTTAAGAGAAGCTTTTCATCGAGCTCAGGTACTTCTCATATATAATAATATCAGTATCTTTCATGAAAAATCTTTGAGCTTTACCACTATTTTAATCTTTGTAAAAGAAATTCATATGCTCTGATTTGCAGGCCTTCCCCCACACCAAGAGATTGGGATGCCTTCTCTTTCACCCACAATGACAGAGGTCCATGTTATTCTAAATTCAAGGGTATCTCATATTATATTCCTATGTTTACTGAAAGTTTTCCCTTGATTCCTTCATCCAGGGTAACATAGCAAGATGGTTAAAGAAAGAAGGAGATCAAGTTGCACCTGGTGAAGTACTCTGTGAAGTTGAAACAGTATGTCTCCTTTATCTTCACTTCTGTCTTCACTCTCTAAGTTTACCTTTATTGACTCAATGTTCATGACAGGATAAAGCCACTGTAGAAATGGAATGCATGGAAGAAGGGTATCTAGCTAAGATTGTACATGGAGATGGAGCAAAAGAAATCCAAGTTGGCGAGGTAACATTTCATATCTTACTTTGATGTCAATTTTTTTTTGAGTGATCAGATTATAGTACTAAAAGTAAGTTTATATTTGCTACAGGTGATTGCTATAACTGTTGAGGATAAGGCTGATCTTGATAAATTTAAAGATTATAAACCCCAAGCATCAGATGCTGCAGCCCCAGAAGCCCCTCCTGCGCCCACCCCACCCAAAGAGGATGTAGTTGAGAAGCCAGTCAGCACACCGGAACCCAAAGCTGTGAAGCCCACTGCAGCTTCTGAAACAGATCGTGTTTTTGCTAGTCCTCTTGCAAGAAAATTGGCTGAAGATAACAAAGTAATTGATCTTATAATATAAATTCTTGTGGTTATAGATTTTGTCTCTTGTGTGCTAATGTTTTTCTTTGATTAGGTAAATCTGTCAAGTATTAAAGGTACAGGTCCTGATGGAAGCATTGTGAAGGCTGATATTGAGGAATATTTAGGTATCTCACAACTCACAATTCTTTGGTTATGTTTGGTATGATGGAATCGGAATGGTTCATTCCATTGTAATGAAAAGAAATGTTTTTGCTTTGTCTGATGGAATGGAATGGGCCATTTGTGAAGGGATCTGATTCCTTTCCTTTTGTTGATAATCATTCCTTGGCGAGGTGTGGCTTTTTTAATTTCATTGTGGAATGGAATGAAATATTCTAGTACAACCTATTTTTCTTTATAAAAGTTTATAATGATGCAGATATTTTTAAGAATTTCTTGATATATAATTTTTAATTTAAGTTATAGTTCTTTATTTATTTGAAATTAACTAGAAAATATTCATTTACTATAAAATCTTATTTGGGTTTTAATGAACTTTTATCATTTAAAGTTTTTTAGTCTTGTAATTAATAAAGTCTATTATCATAATCAGTTAATATAGCCTGTTTTACATGTAATATACAAAAAAAATATTATATTCATTATTCATACATGCAAACCAAGCAAACCCTTTTTCTATTCTACAGTTCAACTGAAGCTGGACATTGTGAACCTTTTAAGTTAAATTTAATTTATTTGGGTTCTCCTGTTTGTGTAGCTTCTGGTAAGAAAGATGTTCCAGCTGCTGCAGCCCCAAAGGGTGATAAATCAACGGTTTCTGCTATTAATTATACCGATATTCCACATACTCAGATAAGAAAGGTATATTATTATTTATCATACATATTGATCCAAACAACTTTAACCATGCCATTGCCAGTAGCCACCTCATCTCTTTAGTTTTTGTATCAAGATTAAAAAAAAAAAAAACAATTCAATTTCTTTGAAAAAAACCTGAAACTAATTGATCATGTAACCTTAACAGGTCACCGCTTCTCGCTTGTTGCTTGCAAAGCAAACCATTCCTCATTATTATCTCACCGTAGATACATGTGTCGACAAACTTACAAAGTAAGCCTTGATTCAAATTTACATTTTTAACCCTAACCAGCCTTTCAACACCTTTTCTGATGTGATTTCTTTGCAGATTGCGTGGAGAACTCAATTCATTACAAGAAGCTTCAGGAGGAAAGAAGATATCCATCAATGACCTTGTAATCAAGGTATCTTTTAGTCTCTTCTCTTGTATAAACAAAATTAATCTCAATTTATAAAAAAAAAAAAAAAAGGAAAAAGATATCAATTAATGTTTATTGTTATGTTCTTCTTGTTTACAGGCTGCAGCATTGGCTCTTCGGAAAGTTCCTAAATGTAACAGTTCATGGACCAATGACTATATTCGTCAGTAAGTATATAAAACATTGAAATAAATTATAAGAAAATATAACTAACTTGTTAAATAAATAGGTTCCATGACGTGCATATCAATGTAGCTGTGCAAACAGATAACGGGCTTTACGTACCTGTCATTAGGGTTTGTCATTACACCTTTTTAAGTTGCTGTTATGTTAAAAATATTATAACAGGAAATAGCAATATGCTTTACTCTTTTCAAATAGTTTTGCTTATAAAATCAATAAATTTGCAGAATGCAGACAAGAAAGGGTTGTCTACAATCTCGGAAGACGTAAAGACTTTAGCCCAGAAAGCTAGAGAAAACACGTTAAAACCATCCGATTATGAGGTCTGACTGATTGGCTGCTCAATTTCAATTTCTTATTTTGTTATATATTGTCGTCAAGTGTGAATTTTGAATAACAATGAATTGAATTGGCAGGGGGGTACTTTTACTGTTTCGAATCTTGGAGGGCCGTTTGGGATAAAGCAATTTTGTGCGATTATAAACCCTCCACAGGCAGGGATTTTAGCAGTTGGTTCAGCTGAAAGGAGGGTGGTACCTGGTTCAGGGGCTGCAGAGTTTAAGTTTGCTTCTTACATGTCTGTCACATTGAGTTGTGATCATCGTGTCATTGATGGTATGTCACATGCACATGCACATCATTTGAGATTTAAAAAATAAAAAATAGTTTGCTAATTATGGTTTGTATACGGTGTTAGGTGCGATTGGGGCTGAATGGCTAAAGGCATTCAAAGGTTACATTGAGAATCCGGAGACAATGCTGCTTTAAAGATGATATGGTTTTTTTTTTTTTTTTTTTCATTGGTTGTGTTCCGATTATCGATTGATTTCTTGTTACAATGGGTTTGGTTGATAACATGATGTGATCTTGTTTTGGAAATTGGAATAAGATAAAAAGGGAGGGTAATGAGTATGAGGCATGTAAACATGAACTCGGTTTTGGTGATATTGTTTGTAGAGTTAAGTATTTGACACCTTTGTAATGTGCGGGAGAGAATTTGAAAATTGAGATATGGTCCTCGTGCTGTGCTGGCATTTGTAACTTAAATAAACCTTTCTTTTGGTTTCCTTTGTTTCTGAACCCGATGGCTTTGAATTGGCTCTTTTGAATTGAATCTATTAGATACTGTTTGGTATGCAGAAATAGAATAGAGCATTACATGGGAATGAAAAAAGTTCTCTTAGAATGAATGGAATGCGATTCCATCCCTTGGTTAATTTGCTCTTACTTGGCGAGGCGAAGGGTGTTTTCTTTCTTTTCTTTCACAGAATTGAATGATATTTTATAGTTATATTTGATTTCTCTTTATATAATCTAATTTTTCAGAATAAATTTAATACTTCAGTTAAATAATTACTTTAAATTTCCAAAAATAACTAAAATTGTTTTTTTTTTTTTTTTATCACAATGTTGTTTCAAGATTGCAGTGTATTTCTTTTGTACACTAACTATTTTATATGGTAGATAATTTCTTTTTAATTATTTGAAATACATATAAAATTTATTTCAAACACAATGAAATATGTATGTCATTTATGTAGTAAATTACCGAAATGGTCCCTATGGTCTAGTCAAAAATACACGTTTAGTTCCTAACTTATTTTTGCACTTGGATCATCCATGTGGTTTGATTTTGTTGCGTTTTTCGTCCTTTACATACATAAAGTTAGGGATTAAACGTGCAATTTTGATCAAACTATAGTGACGAAAAACGCAATAAAATCAAACTACGAGGACAATCCGAGTGCAAAAAAAGTTAGGGATCAAACGTGTAATTTTAGCCAAACTATAGAGATGAAAAACAGAATAAAATCAAACCACAGGGACAATCCAAGTGTAAAAAAAAAACTAGGGACCAAATGTGCAATTTTGAACAAATCATAGAGACGATTTCAGTAATATACTCTTTATTTAATGATATATGTATTTTTTTAGTTTTATAGAACAATATGATTTTTATCAATCAATTTGATTTTATTTATATATAAAATATTTACAACATTATATTTTTTCTAGTTGAATCTACGAATTCGTCGGTTATGAATTGGTGCTTTTAACCATTCAGCCATGGATGCTTAGCGGGTCATAGTGAATGACCAGATTCCAATTCAAACTAAATCCCTTCTTGCACATTCAACATGTTCGACCAACTACTCAGAGCAAAGGTCAAGAAGATAACACAGAGTGGAAATGGTCTAAGTGATCCCAGGTACCTATGAATTCCTATATTTATTTCAACTAAAGCAATGAGATTTTAAAAGAAATTCTGTTAGTTTTAACAAATGAAGAGCAATTTAATGACATGATATAAATTCAAGTCTTGGATTTTGGAATTGAGAGAGATCAAGAGTTATCACTATTTTTATATTCCTAGACCCAATTCAATTCGGTGACAAAACATGCGAAAACAAGACAATCAAGCTAATGATTTATTCTATCACCACGTTCGTTCCATTAGAGCATCTCCAATGATTACACTATATTATAACTTAAAATAAATATCATATCATCTTTATATTAGTTTTGATCTAAAAATAAATAAGCACTTCAATGGTTAAGCTTTTTTTTTTTTTTTTTTTTTTTTTTTTTTTTTTTTTAATTTATAAAGTTAATTGCTATATCCTCATTTATCTAAAATGTTTTATAAAACACCTTCATGTAGATAGTCCATTTCTAAACACAAATAATATTCAAATAAGAACGTATAAATACAAATATATAGATTCATTATGTATATAGCCATAAAATTTATATTTTATAAATGAGATGTTAGTAAATATTTAATTATTCATAATTAATGATAAACCAATAAAAAATATTAAAATTAAATTAGAAATAAATGGATAATTGAAATATGGTTAAACTAGAATGGCTTATATATACAAGTGATACAAGTATATTTATATATAAAAGTGATACAAGTATACTGACCACTCAATATATATTGAGTGGTCAATAAAAAAAAAGCAAATAAGTCATATACTCCAATGGTAATTAGTGATCACTCAAAAAAAAAAAAAAACTATAAAAAAACTCACATTGGAGATGCTTGTAGTTCATTTGTGATTCATGTTATCATACAAAATATATCTTTGAAGTCTAAAGTCATTAGGCTAGCGGGAGTTCGAAGAGACATGGCTCAACAAGAATCAAATGAAGGGGGAAGGCAACTGAGGTGGAGAGGCTCTACCTCTTGCCTCGGTAGTCCATTTCCATTTTATTTCTTTGTCAAGTGAAGAAAATGACATGGAGAGGTTCCATCATCGTGTTCTCCTCGTTTTCTCCCTATTCTGTTTCTCTCGATATGGTCTCTGGTAGTGGTGTTTAGATGAAAAAAGTATGTAAACAAGATGTACACATGATGATTTGTGGAATGTCTTAATGAGGTATGCATATGTTTAAACTACTAATACTTCTCTTTGTTTAACCGTTAATTCAGGAATTAACTTGTAATTAGTGTCTCAAATCTAAAGATTGTGGTGCATATGGATCTGATGTGTGGGGTGTACCCAAGGTGTTTGGTGTATGCGAATTTTGTCTATTAAACTGTGTATTAGTTATTTATGTTGTGAATGCATTATTTTAAAGGTGTTTGGTGTATATAAATTTTGTCTATTTGTACCATCCAAAAAATTCAAGGTAAAAATTTCATTTTTAACACAATCAAAACACCCATTTATCTTTTAAACAAACATTTAGAAGCATCACATCATAAAACAAACATCAGAATACAATCCCAAAATCACAAAGTTGCGGAAAAACATGGGTGTATGCGCTGTGATCAAGTCGGACCCTTCCTTTTTGAACCGGAAATACCTGATACCATAAAAAATGTAAGCACAAAACTTAGTAAGTTCCCCAAAATACCACATACCATACATATCATACATGCAATAGAGAGTGTTATGTGTTAACCATAGTTTTGGCATTATGCCATGAGCCATATCATTCCCTTTACCATTGTGCTATGAGTCGTATCATGGTCTTTACTTGCCAAGTCAGGGGCCAATACCAAAGTCTTCTAAGCATGTGTCAGGAGCCACCTCCTGGTCTTCCATGCAAGCATCACAAAGACAACTAACATACAATTTACAACTAACTATCTACTTAACTGCCAGGGTCCGAACCTTGGTCTTCCATATAAATTTTCCAGGATACAGTGAGGAGACTCATCTCAGACAACTGAAAACTACAGATAAATCTCTTACTGCAGATCAGCTAAAATCACCCCGCTATCAATAACTGAAACATCCTAAAAATACGGTCCAAAATTTTCGTTTTAAAATCATTAAAAAAACCCATAACTCATATAACAACATAATAAAATCCTATACTGTGTATCTCAAACAACATATCAAAAGCACTGTATCAAAATCATGTATCAAATATCAGAGTACATATCCCAGGCTGCAGACTGTGGTGTGTGCCATGCGATCATCCCGAACCATTCCCTTTACTAGTTGAAGTACCTGAAATCAAAATTGAAAACTATAAGCACGAAGCTTAGTGAGCTCCCCTAAACTACCACATACCATACAAATAACATACAACTAGGAGATACGGGCCCCACCCATTCTTATGGAGATTCGGGCCCCGCCCATACTCCGATGTCTAGGAGATCCGGGCCTCGCCCACACTCCGCTACTAACATTCATACAAGTATCACACATACAACAAGTATATCTATCAAACAATCATATAACTATACTCAAATAATACTATGAGATTCGGGCCCCGCCCACACTCAGCTACTAACATATCACGTATACGGGCCGGCCTTGGGGCCTTTGACTCGTTCCTATTGAAAGGAAACTCACCTCTCAAACTGGATGTTGAACTCGTGTGTGAGGAATCTCTGCTAGCTTCTCCTATGACTCCCGGTTAACTCTATACAAAAACACTTAGTCAGAAGACTGAAAATTCATCTAAGGGTAAAATTACCATTTTTCCCCTGGTCCAAGTCAACACTCTGGTTAAAGGAAACATTCTGGGTTGACCAACTCGCCGAGTCAACTCTTCAACTCGTCGAGTTCTATGATGTCCTGTCTCGTGATAAACTAAGTCAAATTGTCGAGTCCCTTAGCAGACTCGTCGAGTTTTATCTTGTACATAAATGAGGTAAAACGAGTCAACTCGTCGAGTCCCTTTACAGACCCGTCAAGCTTTTCAGTTTTCTAGTCTTAATCACGTCCATCTAGCTGAATCACTTCGTAAACTCAACGGGTTCACTCAAAATCAGAGAAGGTTAGGAAACCACGACTCGACTCGCCGAGTTGCATGAATAACTCGTCGAGTCCTCTTAATGACAAATCCATACAATCGACTTTAATCAGTTTCAACGCTTCCAACTCACAAATTTGGACTCCTTAGGCTAGCATCACATGTAAAGTTGCTAACTTTACGTGCATGCATGGTGTTATGCATCTAAAACACCAATATCAAGCAAAAATAGAGGTCTACATCATGGAGTAGGGCCATGGCTGAATAAAGGTGGCAACTTTGAGCTTCTAGAGCTCAAGAGTGCCCATATCTGGAGTCCTTACTTCACCAAGAGTTCATATCTTGAAAATGACCTTGGAAATGGTCCAAAAGTGACAACATGCAAGCCTAGAAGAAGATCTAAGTGAAAAGAAGCCAAGGTATAAGCTTTATGCCTCCAAAGGGTCTGAAATGCAACACAAACTCTGGATCTACTGCCTTTTCTTGAATCACCAAAGGTTTCCTTCCTTCTCCTAGCAGGAAAAGGGCATTACACAAACTCTGGATCTACTACCCTAAGGCCAAGGCCCACTTTAGTTGTCCAAAAGCCCAAAATCTAAAATAGTCACCTCAAGCCCAATTATGGTCCAATTTTCTAAATTGGGCCCAAATCT